TGTCAGATTAGGTTACGATTTACTATGGATAAGGAAACCTATGTTATGTACAAAGGTAGGTGCAAGCCAAATGTTACTCATCATGTCTTAGCCTGTTCAACTTCCTTTGGACTTTCTTCAGCTCTTTGTTCTCCAAGCACTTTCCTTCAGATCTTCCAAAGTGCACAGAAGTCTTGCCTGGTGATCTGAAAGACCACAACAGCCTTGAACCTGTGGCCACTAGGAACAAATCACCAGAGATCACAATCCTCTGAAGTACCAGGGCCTTCTATTCATTCTCATATTACTTTCTAGTCACACTGGCTAATCTAGTTGCAGTGTTTCTATCATTTTATAGCCAAGCTGACCAGTCTCATAAGGTACTGGCCTCACATAATCTATTATACCTGTACAGACATGTTTACTCAGACACTTTCTTAATCCTTGAAGTCAAAGAAGCCTGTACCATATACCAAAGAGCAATACATTGAAGCATTTGTTGTTATTATTATTACTATTAAAATATTATTAAAATTTCTTCTCTCATGTAATATATCTCCACCACAGTTTCCCCTCCCTCTACTCCTCCCAGACCCCCACCACCTCCCCTCTACCCCGGATCCACTCCTCCTCCATCTCCCATCAGAAAAGAGCAGGCCTCTAAGAGACAACAACCAAACACAGCAAAACAAAATATATTCAGACAAGGCAAAAGCCTCACACTGAAGCTGGACAAGGCGACTGAACAAGGGGGAAGAGTCCCAAGAGCAGCTAAAAGAGTCAGAGACATATTCACTCCCACTGTTAGGAGTCCCTCAAAAAACACCAAGCTAACAGCTGCAGCATATATGCCAAGGACCTGGTGCAGCCCCAGGTAGGCCCGTGCTCTGCTTCAGTTTCTGTGAGCCAGTGTGAGCCCTGCTTATTTGATTTAGTGGACTGTGTTCTTCTGGTGCCCTCTATCCTTTCTGACTCCTACAGTCTTCCCTCTCCCTCTTCTGGAAGATTCTCCAAACAGGAGGGACACAATGGAGGCCTCCAAGTTAGTCTCTCTCTCTCTCTCTCTCTCTCTCTCTCTCTCTCTCTCTCTCTCTCTCTCTCTCTCTCTCTCTCTCTCTTTTCTATGTCTGGCCATGAGTCTCTGCACCCACTTCCATCTGCTGCTGGAGGAAGCCCCTCTGATGGTGATTGGACAAGGCACCAACCTGCAAATATTGCAGAAGATCATTAGGAATCATTTCATATTTTTTTTAGACCAGTTGTATTTGGTTCTACCCTAGGTCTCTGGTTCCTGGCCGTCCAAGCAGTATCAGGCATGGGCTCCCTCTCGAGGAGTAGGCCCCTTGAAGCATTCTTTGAGCAGCTGTCCTTACATCCAAGCAACCTCAAGCAGATGCTATTTCATTGCAGCTTTCTGATTCTTCCATTGAATTCCCCTTACAACCATGTCACCATCTCCAAAGAACATGTTGAGTTTACAAATTTATTTTGTCAGCTTTGGCTCCTGGCATGGGGAAAGACAACACACACACACACACACACACACACACACACACACACACACACACACACACGTACACACAGTGCTTTGAAGCATTTTACATTCATAGAGATACTGATGTGAGGATTTTAATTCTAAAATGTTCATGGGTCATTAAACCCATTCTGTAGTTTTAAAATAAATGTTTGGCAGATATAGTGATGAGGTGTTTAAAACAACAAAGAAGAATTAGAAGATAAGGCAGAAACAGAAGCTGGCATTATTACTGTGGTAATGTGTGTAATCCACACATCTGGGAGACTGCTCCCCAGTGTGAGTGGATTACAAGGTGATGGAAACGGTGAGAGAAGAACATTCTGAAAGCTGAGCATCTCATCAGAAGACCCTCAGGAGACACCAATGCTGCTCTTCTCAGTTGGGTTTTCCTTAAAAGAGTAATTATTATAAGGAAGTCTGACCCATCAGTCCCTCTGGCTTCTTGTCTCACTACCCAATCTCCTCTGTGCCCACCCCCACCATTGTCATGTTCTCTGCCATGAGGCATTGACAGGGCCCAGCAAAATCCAGTGCCATCCTCGAGACCTGTGAATTACATAAACTTCTTTTCTTTAAAACTGTCCAGCCTCGGATATTCTGTTTAAGTGGAATAATGCCCTGAGCTGATTCTTCACAACTTGTTTTTAAGGAGGCACTGAATTAAAAGAACTAAAAGCAGTCTAATTTTAATTTCCTTGTGTCTTATACTTATTGGCTTCTTTTTCAGTTTCTAAGGTATTATAATGGAGACTGCAACAAAACTATGAAAGAAACATGGGGAAGCAGACATCAACTGTGCTTATACTTTGACTTCGCATCTGCTTATCTTTGTGTTGTATCACTTTAAGGAAAATGGGAACTTTTCAGGGAGAGGCCCAGAATAATAAGATTTCCAGAATTCTCTCTCACTTGATAGAATGTCACACTTGACAATAGTGAGCTCCCAACTTTTTACTCTATACCTTCCATTAAAAATTTAGCATAAACTATACATACACATAAGCATGTAAAGTTTACATATACCTTACATACTAATATTTTACTGAACACATATAGCATGCGAAAATAGAATTTTTTTTTTAATGGCAGAATCAGAATATCAGAAAGAGGAGTAATGACACATGACATTAATCTCAGCACTTCGGAGGCTGACACAAGATTACAAGATCAAGGTCAGACCCTGTCTCTAAAGCATGTATACACTCTTAGAAGCTCAGTCCTTTAATACAAAAGACTTCCCTACATACTTTGCCAGTTTTCTCTGCATTCTTTGGAACCGTGACAACAGAAGACATATATACCTCTGAAGTTTGATTTACTGTTTTAAAGCAGTCGAAGTTTAACCTACCCCAGCTGAATGGGTGAGTGTGTACTGTAGTTATGATGGAGTGCTTTTTCTTGACTGAAGAATAATGGTCCAGTGAAAGAGAAGTTGTTTGGAGGTCAAACAAAATAAGTCAAAAGCAGTTTTCCCTTTGTGTGGCGTACTAGGCCATCACAATATTTATTATTAATATTTATCATAAGTATAATGGACTGTTTCGCATCACTTCAAGTCTTTCTCTTTGGTTTTTGTTGTTGTTGTTGTTGCTTTTGTTGTGTTTTGCTTGTTTCTGTTTTTGCTTTTCAGGGGAGGAGTTCTCACTCTGTAGTCCCAGCTGGCATGAACTCCCTCAGCTTCCTGGCTGCTGGGACTACATGTGTGCCCCATCAAGCCTGGCAGGTTCTTTCCTATCGTTCCAACCAGATTATTCATCTTTTAAAGAGAACGTGCATCTTACCGCACTTTTCCTCTTCCTCTGGGTGTTCAGGAATTTGGGTACCTAGCCCTGTTCCAGTTCCACGGCAGCGCTGAGTCTGCTACCTGACACTTTTGTCCTTAGTGTGACGACTTCAAAGTCAGCAGAAGAAACAACTTGCTGGTATAGCTGAGAGAAAACGCCTTCCTTTAACTTCAGACTCGGGCTGGTTGTCATCAGGAGAGCGGTGTTTGTTTTCGTCTTGCTCTCTTAGCTGACTCAACAACAACATGGCTACCGTGGACAGTAGCTTAAATGGTTTAATGAATAAGGGGGGAAGAAGGCTCAGGGTTGCTCCAGAAATAGAACTACCAGAGAATGTTGGTTCTCCAGAAGAAAAATACCTCCATAAAGCTTTGTATCCAGGGAAGATTTGAACTCCTGACAGAGTGAAATTATTCTCTAGTGCCTGCTTAGACATGAACTGGGAGAGGGGATCGTTAATGATATAATTTATTTCAAAGATCCCTCCACCCTCTCTACCAGAGAGGAGACAGAGAGGGGAGGGAGGAGGAGAGAAGAGGGAGAGGAAACGGGGAGGGGGGTGAGGGAGGCTAGGAGGCCTGAAGGTGGAAGCAGGAAGTGGGGGAGGGGGGGCAAAAGACAGAAAAAGCAGAAGCTTGGCGCTCTATTTCACTTTGTGTTTCTGAGATGACCTAGTTCTTCACGAAGAAAAAACCAGCCCTAGTCTGTGCCAGGAGCAGCAAGCACACTGTCCTCTGGAGGGGACTCCCGTCAGGACGGGCCTTACGTCTTTTTTTTTTTTAAATTCTGCTGGGCTTGTCTCTGAGTAAACTAACTTAGGCAAAGACTGATAAAGAGGATCCGGCCTGGCTGGGGCAGCACTCAGATGCCGGCTGCTCCGGGCAGGCAGGCGTGGAGTCTCCAGTTAACACTCTGTGACTGGGACACAGCTGGCTTTGCATAAGGACATTAAATATACAGTACCACAGTTTGGTCCTGGGCCCGGCCTCCGGCTGGTGGCACCTGGCCATTTGTCTCCGCCAGCCAAGGCCTGGCCCTGGCTTCCACGATACCGGGAATGCCCCACAGTTCGTCTTCACACCTGTTAGGGGGTTCTCCACTCCCGCCACCCACGCAGCGGGAGCCCTCCCCCCCCCCCCCCCCCCGCAGCACTCGCCCGGGGCCTGCAGAGATGGCCAGAGGGGACCCGGCCGGCGGCGCGCAGGGCCTTTCGGAGCCGACCCCTGTAAGCCCTGGCGCGGGAGGCTGGGCGGGGCGGGGGCCCTGGAAGGCGGGAGAGGTCGAGCCGGGCGGAGACGGGTATGGGAAGGGCCGGGGGAAGGGCCGTCTCCGCTCGCGTAACGCTCCCGGAGCCTGCGGCAGAGGCGGCGGGGCTGAGCCGTGGAGGGGATGGGGCTGCCACCAGCCTCGGCTCTCTTCCCTGCAGCCCCGGCATCACCTCCCCTCGCCCGGCCGGGCCATTCCTTAGGCCGCACAGGGTGATCGCCGGAGCGGGCGGGCGGCACCTCGCCCTGGACTGGAGAGGAGGGCGCGGCGGGGCCACGGCACGGGGACTCCTAGTGGCCCGGGCGACCGGCGCGTCCCCCAAGCGCCCGGAGACCTTGATCCGGACAGAGCTACGTGCGCGCCCCCCGGGGGCGGCCGGCGGCCGGGAGGAGGTGCGGGGCTCGGCCACTCGGCCCCGGACACCTGAGTAGCCCATGGCGGGCAGCGACGTGGCGTGTGAGGGGCCCACGCGGAGGGGAGGCGCGACCCGGAGACCCGGGGCTCCCGGCGGGCTGCGCAGCCAGGCAGCGGCCAGCAGCTCTGAGCCGCTGTCCGCTGCTGAAGCTCCGGCCGAGCGCGGCGCGCTGCCCGCCTGGATGCGCCTGTACTTCTACGGGATGCACGGCATCACCCTGGACGTGCTGGTGTCCTCCGCCAGGCGCTTCGCCCGCAGCCTGGACCTGCGGATGCTGGGCTTCTCATCGCCCTACCGCTGCCTCCTGCACTCGCTCACCCACTTCGCCCTGGAGCAGCTCTACCTGCAGCGGCCGCGCTGCCCCAGCGCCTTCCTCTTCAATTTCCTGCTCTACCCCTGGGCGCACGTGGGGCTGCAGACCCTGGCGGGCCAGGCGATGCTGCTCAGCCTGGGCGGCGGGCCGGGGGGGCGCGGCGGCGGCGCCCGGGGCGCTCGACCTGGCGCTGCAGTACGTACTGGCGCTCTACCACGGCCAAGTGTTCCTGAAGCGCTTCCTGCGTTTGCGGTACCCGCGGCAGCGCCAGCAGCAGACCAGGGACACGCTACCGGCAGCCCCGGACGCCCGAGTCCTTTTGGAGGCTGGTGGCCGGCGACAAGGACCCCGCGGCCCCAAGGGCGCCGAAGGGGCCCCTAGCCAAGGACTGCCAGACTTCCTCCGCTTCCTTTTCTTCGGAATGCACGGCTTTCTGGATGAGATCTTCTTCACCTTCTTCTTCAATGTGCTGGGGCAGGGGGACGGGGCCAGCGGTGGACACACGTCGCTCTGGTCCTTCTTCATGTATGGCAGTTGTAGTTTTGTGGTGGAGAAACTCTACTTCCATCTTCATTACAGCCGTGGCTGGGGCACCTGGAAGCGGGTGCCCATCTATGTGATCTTTATCTATGCCTGGGAGTTGTCCTGGGGTCTGGGGCTTCGCATGTGTGGGGCCTGTTCCTGGGACTATTCTCACTATCCACTCAATTTCATGGGCCTCATCACTCTGATGTATTTACCTGGTTGGCTGTTCCTTAGTGTGTACCAGGACCTACTGTCCAACGTGTTGTGGCGGGTGCAGTACGTCCCAACAAGCTAAGATTGGGAGAAAAAAAAAAGAAGAAGAAGAAAAGAAAGGAAGAAAGGAACATGACGATTGGATGCAATTTATTTTTACACATTTAAAACGAGGTGGTTTTCAGTCTTTTAATTTTTATACACTTTACTAAACTCTTCCAACTTGTTTTACTTGACGTTTTAGTTTTCCAGACTGCTTGGAATCGATATGTAAAGTTCAATACATTGAAGTGTTACTCAAAACTAACTCAAAATATTTAACTCATCAATAATTTAAACCTTTTCGAGGTCAGACAGCTAAACCACTCTACCTTAACATCAGAAACCGGTAATATTCACTGAACCTCAAAGCGTGATAAGTACTTACTTTTCTGTTCTTCTATGAAAGTTTTCAGATCAGAGAACAATGGTTTTTACAAGTTCCTGATTTAATGAGCTGTTTACTTTCTTTTTAATTATTGCAATTTCATTTTACTTTCTTGCCATGTTTACCAATGGCCGCTGAAACTCCATGTCTCGTATGTCCTTCAGAAACTTCAAACCACAGCTCTTAAAGTGCCTCTGTCTAGTATACAAGTGAGAGGAAGCTGGCAAGTGTGAAAATATCCCGTGAACACATTTTGACGTGAGACGTCCTTGCTGTCGACTCCGACAGGTGACACTGTGTTAAGACATTTGGTCACCATCTTGGGAATGATTGCTTTCCAGTGTTGGCTAGCCTTAAACACTACTGTGTTAACGTCAATCAGAACATGTGTGATCTAAACTTTTGTAACTGTGTGCGCAATAACCTAAATGTTTACCCTCTATGTCCCAGGGCCAAGTGAAATTCTACCACCTTCCATGGGGTCCTAACACTCAGTACCGTTTTTTCTACGCAGAGCTTCAGATATAGAAACAGTACCGTGGAATAAAATGACTCTCAATTCTCCCTCTAATTTCATTAGGCCTACTTGTTTTTCTATTTGCTGGTGTGTTTTCACCATATCTCTCCCAGTTCTCCCTTACTTTCTTTCCCCTTTCAGGCCCAGATCTGGGGTCAGGCCCGACATGGTAACGCACCTTATAAGTGCATGATAGCTTTTTGACAGCTTATGATTAATTAATGCCTAAAAGCTCCAGAGTTAAATGAGATGATGGAAGCCATTCTAAGAAATTATATCTAATTGATTAATAATGCACTCTGAGGGCGTTTGCTGTTTTATTGTACTTAGAAGAGTGAGGCGAATGGAGTGTGGCTCAGCCAGGGATGACTAACAACCTCTCAGCTTTCAGTACAAAGATAATTAGGAAAACTTAGACTGTGTACTAATGAGTCTGAATTGTCCAATTGCCTGTGCTGTAAAAAGGGATGTTTTCTATTAAAAAAAAAAAAACAGTTTGCTAGGAGAACTGAAGAGAATGTGTATTTAGATTTGACATCAGGCATGGTTCTAATCGTGCTATATCAATCCATCCTCTGAGGTTATGAGCTAAATTATAAGTAATGTCATATAGTCAACCCCACCTGTAAAATGGATGAGGACAAACTAATCATTCTCATCACTCAGAGCTTAAAAGTCAGCTCAATGTTTGTCAGAGGTTTCTCTTAAATTCTTTATGACACTGTACCGGGTCAAAGATTTCTGAAAATGCTGGAGGGGAAAATATGGAAGTAGACACAGCAGAGTTAGAAAGACGCAGGACAAGGGATTTGGAATTCAAATGTGGCACATGCACAGGAATCTGAGTTAAGTATGGCACCACTGAACACCCCACATTCCTGTGAATGTGAGTCAGCTCCATGGCTGTTGAAATTGTCCCCACTCACCTCCAGCCTATGCATCTCTCAGAGCCACTGAGGAGTCTACTAACTGTCTCCGAGTCAGAAATCCCCCACTTAGGAACACAAGCCGTTTTATTTTCCTTTTAATACTATGATCGTCAAGGGGATAGAGTAAGGTTTTCACTCATTAGACTTACTCAAGAAATAGTTACCCAGCCTCCAGTAATCAGTAGGCACTTCCTACGATTGTGTATACATGATAATGAACCAATAGACAGATGTCTGTCTTTATAAAGCTGGAAATTGACTGTTTGGATGTTGTGAAATTATACTCCTTTTGTTGTTTGCTTGGTTTTTTCAAGACCGCTGTTTCAGTAACAAGTAATGAGCAGCAGGATCTAGAATCTCATCAGTCCTATCTTTGAAACATAGCAATCCATCATTCCTAAAAAAATATCCAAACTAACAGTCCCCATGCTAGTTCTCCAAATTGCTAGCTGTGTATACAGGAAGTGATCAGCCTGGCTGGTAACTCAGTGTATTGTCTTAGGGCTTCTCGTTTTGCATTTGTTCCACCTCTTAAAGGAGGCATTTTGCTGTGATCTTTGACCCTTCACGATAAGAGAACCATCAAATCATTGTTATTATTAGTAGTTTAGAGGCAGAAATGCTAAGTCAGTATGATAGTTAATATTTAAATAGCATTTGCTCTCTGAAAAACTTCTCTAAAGTGTGTATGTATTATATAGATATCAAATTAACAACACATTCTTACATACTATGCCTTAAGTGAATATGCATACAGTATATATTTTAAGTACATATTTATATGTGTGTATATATTCACTTAATCTTGCAACAACCCTGCTTTTATAGATGAAGGCAATAAAACTGAAGCCCAAATGGATTGAGTAACTACCCAAGCTACACAGCTTTTAAGCATTTATATGTAAGTTAGTGGATGCTGGACTCCAGTCAGTTCCCAACAGCAGCTTGATTGTGCCTGTCTACTGGCCTCAGTGATTTGGATCATGTCTGGACTGTTCTTCCCTATGATGTTAGAGATGCACAGACAGCTGTTGTTTGCAAAAGACTCCTGTTGCTTTTTTGTTATGTGGTGCATAGCAAATGAATTAATATCAGGATATATAACTGACAATCAGCCTTCTTTCACTCCATAGATAATGCCTTTATATTTAAGCAGTGCTCTGAATGGAAGTTCCTCCTATAAACCAAAATAATTTGCAACATAAAAATGTAAGGATAATATACCAAGATGCAAGGTAGGCCATTATCACAAGCTATGAATATACATATAATTAATCACTGCTATACATTAAATATTGTTCTTAGAGCAGATATCATTGTAAGAACTAACCACCCCAAAAGTGAGAAAGTTTGTAGCCAGGTGTGTTGGCACCCAACTGCAATGCCAATACTGAAGATGCTAAGGCAGAAAGATTGCAAATTTGAGATCACCCTAGGGCACATAATGATATCTTGTCTTTAAAAAAAAAACCCTCTATTTTTGCAAAGACATTGATCCTGAGTTCTACTGAAGAAAAACATTCTTAGTAGAAAAATATAAAAGTAGCAAGTGTGCTTAACATATACAATGCTGGGATTTTTTTTTAGAAGTACTTGAAATTTTAAGTAAATTCTGTGAATCTAAAGAGAAATATAAACTCTTGAATTTTCATGTTAACAATGAATATAGAAGTCCAGATATCAAAGAAAAGCTCCAATAAAGTTGCTAACCTATTGAGTTATTTCAAACATTCCCATGATTTGGTGTACTTGATTATTTTGTGTTCTGTTAATTGACAGTTCATACTTCAACCAAGCAACACACAACAGTTTAGAAACATATGACCTGTTTTGTTGTTTGAGAAACATACTTAATTGGATAATCCTTTCTTCTGACACATATTTTAAAAAATAATTTTCATTGTTTTGAAATAGTCTCTGTCAGTTTGGCAGACCTGGTTCTCTTTAAGAAAGATATTGAAAGAGTTTGGTGGACAGGTTGGGCTTACCTTCCATTTTGAAGGTTCATAAAACATCTATATATCTGAACACAGGGAGAACTCATGACACACTTTGTAGTAAGCCATTGTACTGAAATATCTGACACTGTAATAAAGGCAGTGTTTCCATACATTAAAAGGCATTGCAACTCTTTACCATTTCAATTAATTTTGAATACACTAACTCTAACAGTGCTTACTAGAGCTAACTCCTTTACCAAAGGAAAGTTAAAAAACAAAACATCATCCATCAAATGCATCATCCCCTCACCTCCCTTCATCAAACACAAACACGTATTCCGTGGTACTATGAGAGGTGGCAGTTAAGGATGGTTCTATTGTGCTGCCAGGACTTTTTTTTTTTTCTACTCGTAGAGTTGGTAGCAGAGGAAGGAACAAAAGTAGCAATTGTCTCTGTGTCTAATGAACCCATTCATTAGACTTGGCCTCATTCTCGTTTTTCACACTGCTGCAGCAAGCCATCACACAGGCAGTTGATTCCAGTCACAAGCAACCCAGATTGCAAAACGCTCTGTGGTGTGTGAAGAGAAAGCTTTCTGGTGAAAACACTTTCTCAGAATGTAGAAAAAAATGCAAATATGGATATTTCTCTTAATTTTAAAATGAACTTTTTAAGATTACCAGACAGGGAGGGGAGTAGGAATGACTTGTCCATATACAGAACTGGTTAATTTTCTTTGTACCTTTGAAGTTTCCCAAGACGTAAAACTTCTCGTGAAACAATTTTCCCAGCTGGAAATTAACGTATGTCTACTATGATTAAGGATATTTAAACTTTGCAAGAAACTATGCCACTTAAAGCATTGGGCCTTTCACCCACAGCAGGAGTAAGGCCCTCTGAGGGATGATTCCTTGATTCTATTTAGACTGAATGTTCTAGTTTTCATTGTATTTTGTCACAAAGACTAAGTAGAAGGATGATGGGAGAAATCCACAGAGTCTGTTTAATGAACAAGGGAATTTATTAGGGGGTAACTCATTATAGCACAGGTATTTATTGTAGGGTCCAGGAAAGCTGAACTATGTCCCATGCTGATCTTCCAAGATCTGCCTGGTTAGTCCCAGCATCCAAAACCATGAGGGATTGAAGAGAATACCGCCTATATGCATCCCAGGTCTTAAGGGTCCCCCAACCCACCCCAGCGGCCATGCCCCAGGGGCATGTACTTCAAGGTCATAGGCAGGTGTAACAGTTACCTGTTGTTACCTCACTAGGGGGTGGTGCTTCAAGGTCATAGCTAGAACAGCTATCCACTACAGAAAGGAACACTGTCACCAACAGAATCACCAAGTCCATTCTCAACCAGTAAAGGAATCAGGCTGCCAAAACATTAGGAGCCAATAGCTTGCCATTCATTCCATGGAGTTCTTTTGTTTTGTTTTGTTTTGTTTTTTATGAAATTCTTTCCCCTTCATTGAAAATTTCCATGCTTAATTTTCTTGCTATTCTTATGACTTTGCTATTTCAAAGGATGGAGGGCTTTTAGAATTATTATTATTATTTCAGAAATTAAAAACATCTTGGCTATAAGTATGGTAGTAGGTTAAATTCATGAACTCTGCATGAATCACTGAAGTCTTTACATGGTTAAAACTAGGGAAAGATTTGACTAGTTACTCTACTGGCCTACAGAATATCACCAGGTGAAATTGACTGTTAACTTACCAGTTGTACCAGAAAAATGAATTTAATAGACAGAGATATGGCTCAGTGAGTAAGAATGAGGACCTCAGTTTGGATCCCAGTATCCACATACAAATCTGGGTATGGCCATGTGCATCTATAAGCGTGCTGGGACTTGTTGAGCCACAAACCCAGCATCAGATTCAGTGATAGACCTTGTCTCACAGGAATTAGGTAGAAAATTATTGTCCTTGATGTCCTGCCCTTGCCTTCTCTCCAAAACCTACACTCCCACCTACACATGCACCCCTGTCCCAGCAAACACAGGGATCACGAGGCTAGAGATGTCAAAGAAACAAGTAGCTAGCCAAGTACTGTTGAAATATCAAAGGCCATCATGCCCATTTAAAAACTCGAGGAACCAGAGTAGTCAGAGACACCAAGAGAAGATGCCCACAGAATCAATTGACCGGGACTCATGGAGGCTTATACAGATCCGGGAACCTGTAGGGGTCTGACCTAAGTCCCCAGCATATATTTTTACGGCTGTGTAGCTTGATACTCTTGTGGGACTCCTAACAGTAGTAGTAGGAGCAGTCACTGACTCTTTTGCCTACTTATGGGACCCTTTCCTCCTACTGGATTGCCTCATCCATCCTTGATGTGATGGTATGTGCCTGGTCTTATTGTGACTTGTTACAATAAGATGATGTCCCTGGGAGGCCTACTCTTCTCTAAGGGTGGGGTGGATGTGGTCTGGGGGAAAGGAGAGGTGGGGAGGAAAGGCTGTGGAGAGGGAAGAGAGAAGAAACTGTGGTTAGGATGTAATATATGAGAGGAAAATAAAAATAATAAATTGTACTTGCTGTATTAAGAAAAATCTAGCTACAGATTTGATTACCTTATAATGTAGACATATGCTGTATGCAATATATTTTACCACATATCTTTAAATCCTATGGTGCTGATAAATAAACCTGTAGATTATGAAACCCTGAATTTCAAGTATTTTGAAAAACCACTCTCAGGAAAGAATAATAATGGGTTGATTGTGAAAAGTGGTCACAGCCTGTTTTTTTATACCCTCATTTTGGAGACAAACGTTGAATGAAATTTACTCTTGTACATTAATGATGAGAATTATTTTGTTTTTAAGTTTTTATTAGAGGCAATGAATGAACAAGAAGAAAAGTTAACTGAGTTTCTTGGAGTACAACAGAACAAGCATTCATATTTCAAGTTCGTAAAATGTAGAGTTTAAGAAAATCTGTCATTATACTTGCTCATCATGGTGATTTCCACAGCCAACAAATGAAACAGGAACACAGAAGAGTAATAGTAAGGATAAGGTGGTGTTTAAGAGTCTTGGAGACATGGATGTGTTATTTTTATGGTTAAACATATGCACAAAGATGAGTGATAGTCTAAATCCTTAAAACATAAAATTTACATTCTAACAAAATGTTACATTCACAAAACACTGCATACCCTGTTTTGTTGGATAACAAATAAACATTTTATTGTGTTACTATTGACCAGTGAAATTTTTCTAATTTTGTATAATAATCAGGTTACTGAGCCAAGCTGCAATAATTTAATAGTAGAACAGTTGAAGTTTTTTGGGAGTTCAGGCAAAGAAACCACAACTAAACCAAAGATCATAGAACTGTATATCTTGAGGAAACAAGAGATCATCTAGCTTGCCTGCCGATACCATAATTTTACCCAGATCTTCTGGACATATGGCCACCTGCCATCTTCTTGACCACAATCAATAATTGAGATCATCAAATCTACTAAGACCTTCATAGTCAAACCACCTACCCCCACCCCATGACTTTGTCTACTAGAAAGTTCCTAAGAGGCCAGTCATGGTGGCATACCTCAAATCCCAACACTCAGCCAGTGAAGGTAGGGAGATATTGATTGCTTCAATACTGGACAGCAGTAATTAAGAATCTCTCGAGATGACAACGTGTAGCTTCAATTTCATTATTTATGGATATACACAAGAATCACTGTGCCTGGGGAGGAGAGAACAGCTTAATTTCATGTATTCTTACCTTTTCTGTTTAGGAACTTCATTAAGTACAAGGCTCCATTACTTCTCTAATACAATTTATCTACATCAGGAGGTATTTTTAATTGATTATCTAATCAAGGAGTCCAAATTATCCTTTAAAGCATTACTTCCAAAGTCTGGATTTAAAAGAAAGATGATATACACCTGAACTGTTTTAGTTGGCTAGTGTGTTTGGCTGTATGACTCTTCCACAAAAGCCCATTTGATCCATGTTTTCCCTTCTTGACGTTGCTAGATTATTGTTGTTTTTTAAAATGATGTTCTGGATTTTGGTAAGTTTTGAATATTTTGAAAATGAAGTGAAATGAAAATAAAATGTTTTAATTTGTTAAATGTTTATTACTGGGAATGGTATGTGGTACATATTTGTTTTCATTTGTAAATTTTATCTGTGTCTTTCTATTTGAACTCTAAATACTATTGATAGAGTGTATTGGGAAGTGCTATCCAGAAAAACAAAACCAATGGAAAATAGAGAAGGGAGGTATGTATGCATGGAGTTTCAATGTGTGTGAATATATAGGCAGCATCTGTGTATGTGTGTATGGAGACAGAAAGGGAGAGAGAGAGAGAGAGAGAGAGAGAGAGAGAGAGAGAGAGAGAGAGGGAGAGGGAGAGGGAGAGGGAGAGGGAGAGGGAGAGGGAGAGAGGGAGGGAGGATATTTATTATAAAAACTCATATCCCATGATCATAGAGTCAGTGAACTGGAGAGCAAGGAGCTGGTAATATAATTCCATCCTATGGCCAAAGGCTTCAGAGCAAGATCAGAAGAACTAGTAGCAGAGAAAAGGTTCAAAGGCCTTCAAGCTTGAAACTCAGGAATAACTGAAGTCTCAGCTTGAGTCTGAAGATGAAAAAATGTAGCCGGAAGGTTTCTCCAGTCCCACCCAGCCTCGTGGTCCTGTAGCCACTAATAAAATAATCACTCAGAGGCTTAATATTATTTACAAACTGTATGGCCTATGGCAGGCTTCTTGCTAGCTAGCTCTTATAACTTAACCCATTTCTATTCATCTATATGTTGCCACATGGCCGTGGCATTACTAGTCTGCTGGCATCTTGCTTCTTCTTCAGCTGCAGCTGATGTCTCTCCTTCCTCTCCTTTCTTCTCTTCATATATCTGCTTGGATTTTCTGCCTGCCTCTAAGCTACCTTGCCACAGGCCAATGCAGCTTTATTTATCAACCAATCAGAGCAACATATATTCACAGCATACAGAAAGACATCCCACAGCAAGAAAATAATTATGTCTAAGTTCAAAAGAACTAGAAGGAATTCACTCTAGTTTTCAGTCTTTTAACTTTATTCAGGGCTTTAACTAATTGAATAGGGCCTATCAGTCCTACAGATTGCAATATATGCTCCTCATTTGGTCAGTTTAAGTGGTATGATCATTCACCAGCAGCCTTGCTGAAACAGCTAGAGTAAAGTTTGACCTTGTATGCAGGCATCTTGTTATCAATCAAGTAGACACATAAAATTAACATCGCAAGTCTAGCACTTGTCAACTTGACATTCATAAATATCTTCTTAAATTATAAAACACTGATGGAATAAGCTGAAAAAATACTAGAAGACAGTGCTTCAATGCTCACAGATTAACAGAATTAGTGTTGTTAAAATGATCATTTTATCAAAAGCAATCTATAGATTTAATATCATCCACATCAAAATACTAATGGTATTTTTTTTGACAGAATTAGGAAAAGGAAATCCTAAAATTTATATGAAAATGCTAATGACTCTGAATAATTAAAGAAATCTGAATCAAAAAGAACAATAGTGGAGGCACAATCTAATTTAATCAAAATCTACAACAAAGCTATAATAACAAAAAAGTACATTGTTGGCATAAAAACACATGCAGACAAATGGAACACAATAAAGTTTTCAGAAATAAACACATCCAGTTGTAGTCAACTGAGTCTTGCCAATCATGTCAAAACACAATTTGGAGAAAAGAGCCTCTGTAACAAATGATGCTGGGAAGCTAAATATAGAAGAATGAAACTAGATTCATACTTTTCATGCCGAGCAAAAATGTACTCAAAATGAGTCACATACCTTAATGTAAGACATGATACGTTAAAACTACTAGGGACAATACCTCAAGATAATGAAAGAGGTGAAAATTTTTTAATCAAACTATAATATCTCAGAAGACTCCTCCCTCATGATTTAATCACATGCTAAGACCCTCACTTCTAATACCAAAGCCTTGGTCTTAGGATGAAGTTACAGGGATACAAACATTAATATCACAGGAGGAAGAGATCAGTATTTGCTCAGCATTGTAAAGTTCAGCTTAAAAAATAAAATAAGAGAGTCTATGATTATTGTATTTCAGGATATTCAGAAAAGCAAGGTATAGATACAGATTGTGTGTTAATCAGTTTTTCATTATTGTGATAAAATATTTGAGAAAACAATTTACCATAACATGTTTATTTTTACGGGTGGTTTCAGAGGCTTCAGTCCACGGAAAGCAGGCTCCATTGCTCCAAGCCTGTGATGAGGGAAGAACACGAAGACAGTGGGAGTGTGTGGAGGGGAAAGCTAATCACCCCACAGCTGTCACAACACACAAAGAGCATAAGGAGAGGACCCAAGGATGAGACATACCTTTCAAAGCCATAACTTCTGTAAGCTACTTTACCTCTTAATAGTCCATCAAACTATAACGTTATAGCCCTCATGTTCCAACCACCTCTCAAAAGTCCATCCACTGGCAACCAAAACTTTAACACATGAGCATCTGGCGATACTTTATATCCAAACCATAACAGATGGGAGTGTATTTGAGTTAAACATTTGGAGGAATGAAATCTGAGTGAGTAGCAACAATAACATAAGTGACCTTCAGGATAAAGGAAGGGATAAAAGACTAGCCAATATGGAGTTAAGAAAAAATAGTTATATTCCAAATTGGGAGAATTGTGCAAACATGCATTCTTGTGAGAAACACTGTTCAAAAGCCTAGAAGATGAAAATACAAAAAAGAAGAGAACATAAAACCTCATGGTTTAAACACAGGAACAATTGATAACTACTAGCTCTAATGGGAGCCTAGTGTTCATCTTCCAAGGATGGCACTCATCTCTACTCAATTCTCCTGGCTGCCTGAAGAGAAAGACCCCATTATCCACATTTTTACAGGTGTCAAGCTGGAACACAAGAGAAATTATTTTTACAAAGGTCACAGTGGTAGAACAAGGATTTATAGTCTGGCAATCAGGATTGCAAGCTGCATTCTCTAAATGTCACCTCTACAAATGGAGGAGAAAGGAAAGGTCAAAAGAACATAGGGAACACAGGCAGAAGGACTTGATACTGGCACTGTCCTGAATGTGCATGCTGCCCTGTTCATATTCCAATAAAGCAACCAACGGGACATTTGAATTCATATCTACTCAAAGAATTTAAAGATTTACACAACAACAATTTTTTTTATTTATCTTTAATAATTTATTCAGAAAATATTTATGGAGTGCCTACTATGAAATTAATATAGGAGTGCTCTTGGCTGAAAAAAATTAGTAAGTCTACTATTGAGTGTTATATTGGTTACTTTGCATATCTGTCACCAAAATGCCAAACATTAAGACATTTAGACAATATTTTCCAAGAGTTCAGCCTATGGTGGCTTGAGCACATGCTCTTGTGGTCTCCTGTGGTCACAACAGCAGGAACATATGAAGGAGAATCATAGAGGTCAAGAAGCAAAGAAGGGGGACATGATGGGTCCAGTGACAAGCTGGACTCCTGGACCTACCCCAGTGACTGCTTCTTACAGCTTCTTCTGCCGCTTAAAAGTTCCAAGACCCATGTCTCAAGAAGGAGCCCACAGCTGACACTGGCTGGAGGACCAAGAACCAGAGGCTGGATAGCTCAGAGACCTAGGATAGAACCAAACATGCCCAGTAAAAGAAAAAGAAAAAAGGTCAATGAAACAATTCCTAATGATACTCTGCTATATGTGTAGACCAGAGTCTAGCACAGTCATCATCCGAGAAGCGTCATCCAGCAACTGATGAGAACGGATGCAGACCCACAGCCAAATATTAGGCAGAGCTCAGGGAACCCTGAGGAAAAGGGGGAAGAAGGATTGTAGGAGCCCAAGGGCACAAGAAAATGGCCCACAGAATCAACTAACCAGGGCTTCTAAGGGCTCACCGAGACCGAACCAACAGAGAGCCTGGAGGGGTCTGACCTAGGTCCTCTGCTTATACATTATGGCTGTGCAGTGTGGGGCATACATGAGCTACACAAATGGAGCTGAGAGGAGCTGAGTTCAAGTTGTTTATGCTGAGATAAGATACAAAGATCAGGAGATGATGTCAGTGCGTTGGTAAACAAGAAAATGAGTATAGGGTGAACTTTAAAATGATTGGTTGGTTCCTTCTACCCCCTCCTAGGGTTCTGAGGTTTTTGCTATAAAAGAGGCTTACTGCCTAAGTTCTTGCTTGACTTGACTCCCCACTGCATCTGATTGTCTCCAGGTAAGAAGAAGGCTGGGAAAGGGGCAAGTGGCACAGTTACCTTTCCTTGGTTCCAGGCCACCTCTTCAGAGGTGACCTAAGTTCCCTGTAGGGCAAGACCCCACAGTGCAGCTTGATGTTCCTGTGGGACTCCTCACAGTGGGACCCGGGGCTCTCTTTGACTTCTTTTCATCCTATTAGGTAACCTCGTCCAGCCCTTAATGTGAGGGGAGGGGCCTCATCTTATTGCAACATGATAGGCCACGTTTGGTTGACTTCCCTGGGAGTCCTACCTTTTTCTGAAGGGAAAAGGAGGAGGAGTGGATCTGGGGGAGAGGGGAAACAGGGGTGAGGAACTAGGAGGAGAGGTGGGAAGGGAAACTGCCATGGGGATGTAATGAGAAGAATTACAAAAAAAAAAAGAATAATAAGTTCCAAGAACCTCTTACAGTAGCACTACCATCCTGTAACCAAGCCTCCAACCCATGAGTTTGGAGTGGATATGTGGTGATATTCTATTTGTGCTGAAATGCGGTGATATTTTGTTTGTATGTTAATAAAGTTTGCCTGGAGATCAGGTCAGGGGACATAGCCAGCCATAAACAAAAGTCAGGCAGTGGTAGCACATGCCCTTAATCCAATCACATGGCAAGCAGAGTCTCTGTGTGTTCAAGGACACACTAGGGAACAGCCAAGTGTGGTGACACATGCCTTTAATCCCAGTACCAACCACAGAGACCTGGAGGTTTGTACAGACAGACAAGGAAGTAAGGTAGCTGGGCTAAGAGCCAATGAGAAGGCAGAACAGCAAGGCAATAAAGGCACAGGTTAGACAGGAAGAAGCTCTCTCTGGGGAAGCTATGGCGACATGGTGAGTAAGGTTAGCTGGTGGCTCTCAGTATTTCTTTGATCTCTATGGCTTTTACCCCTGTATTTGGCTCTGTTTCTTATTTAATAAGACTGTTTAGAAATTCGTCTATGTGGATACCTCATATTCAAAGCATAACAGTACTTTACTTTATAGCATTTGTTACCTGAAGCTGCGATAACAAAATACCATGGGCTGGCTTCTTCAAACAACAGAGAAGGATTTTTCTCAAAGTCCTGGGGGCTACAAGCCCCAGGTTAAGGAATGAGAAGGCTGGTGGATGGTAGAGGTTCTTTTCTTGGCTTGCAAATGGCAATCTTCTCACTAACTTATTTCAAAGTTCAAAGAGATTAAGCTCTATCATACGTCATAACAACACTAATCCCTCTATATCAGACCACTTCCCTCATGATCTCATTTAACTTTAATATTCCTGTCAAGATCTTGTCTCTACATTCAGTCACAATGAGGTTAGAGCTCATAATTTAATGTATTTAGTCCATAATATTTATGCTCTTGACATGGTGATAATTCTTAATATAATTCCTGTTCCTACCCACAGATCATAGATAAAACATGGAGATACCATGTACCACACAGATAGGAGAGGACATGAATCACAATTCATTCTAGCATATTTCAAGGCATCTTTATGTGTCTCTCAGAAGGTTCAAGACTGTCATTAGTTAGGAAAGAGCAGTGTCCCTAAAAACAAAGAAGCATCCCTTTGTCCTGCCCTTTCACCATTTTATAAACTAGTTGTCACTAGTTTTCCAATTCTCTCCAGAGATGAGCTCTGTTTTGCTCTTGCCTAACTTTAACCTTTTTACGCAGATTCTAAATCACTCCCTTGCTATTTTTATTATTATTTCTAAGTGTATTTTATTACTCAGGAAGTTATCTTTCAGGGAAATGTGATCAGAGGCACTCTGTCTCTTAGCCTTTTTGAGCGCTGAGTCAGGCCTTGAGGGCACTGTAGTCAGAGCTACTCCGCTGCCTTCCATAGACTAAGTTTTGAGATAAGGGGTTTAAAATATTTTGCCAGTGGTATTCAAGAGCACAAAATCAATTTTCAATGTATTATAAATGGGTTACTACATTCCCATTAAGTTTATAGGCTATTTATTCCCATTTCAGAAACATGAATATCTAATGGTATGTCTAGCTGGTCTATAAATAATTCCAAATGTGCTTAGCAGAGTGAGGCTTCACATTGGGAGGTGCAAAATAGATAGCATGGTCTCTGGATCACTTAGCCAAGAACTTTTAAGTTTTATTTATTTTCATGGGTCTGTCTGTCTGCCTGTCTGTCTGTGCAGGCATACACATGCCAAAAAGTGCTTATGAGCAACTCTCAGGAGTCAGTTCTCTCCTGCCACCTTGTGGCATTAGATCAGACTCTGGTGTCAGACCTTAAGCAAGAGTCCCCTCCAGCTGTGCCATCTCACAGGCCCTGTAAGATGTTGTTTTAGTTCAGACTGCCTTATGTTACTTTAGAAACTTTGCACAAGTCAGGTAGTTTACATACAAGATTGGCAGGAAATTGTGACCTCCTAAGAAACCACTATCTGGGTTGTCTGTGTTCCTTTCCCTCCTCCAACCATAAAGGAGCAGATTGCACTTTGTGTGAGAGCTATTACCACCCCCCAACACTAAATAATGATCTGAATGTAAATTTGCCACTGAGGCAGCTAGGAAGATTTGATGAGGATAAAAATTCCAGATAGTAAAACTTTGCTACCTAAATTATATCTTTGGGTAACACGGGTATCTTAATTGCAAGGACTTTTGTTAGGTTACTTATTATTTCAAAATTATTTAAGGAAATAAATTAAAATTTCTAGAAATAGGAAAAGTCTGTGCTACAAATAAATGATTCGAAATGACCTTTCTAAAACAGCTGAGTTTGGTTTCCATGCGAAGCCTTTCCTGGATAGACCTGTTATGGTTTGACCTTGAAAGTCCCAGGAAGGCTCCAGTATCGAAGTCTTAGTCCCCTGTGCAACAGCGTTAGAGGTGGGGTTTGGAAGGTAATTTATTCATGCAGTCTCTAAACCATCAGTAGGTCGTTGGAGGTGTTCCCTAGAAGGGGGTGTGCTGTCCTCAGCTCCTTTTGCATTCTGTTTCCTAGCACCAGAGAGATGATCAATTCTACTCTCCTGCATCTTCCCAGAAGGATATTCTGCCTTGACCATGTGCCCAAACGGTGGGATCAGCCAAGTGGGGACTGAAACTATTGAACCAAAATGAATCCTTCCCCCCTTAAACTGATTTTTTTTTTCTTCAGCGTTTGTCAAAGGACAGCCATGGAACCTATATAGGCTCACTCACCACACCGGGTGAGTGCTGGTAAATTATTCAAAAGTCAACTTCACTCCAGTCTTGTCCATAGAACATGCTGCAATGAGAAATGCTCTGTCTAAACCATTCACTACCCACTAACCCCATGTGGTGAATGTACATCTGCCCTGTGGCTAGTGTGCCTGACTGGCTAGATCCTAACATATATTAACTAATATAAAATGAAACAGTCCAGTGTCTACTATACTAATCCACACAGTGATGCGCCTCACACATTTACTTTCTAGGGCTCTGTTAACAAAGGGCCATGAACTGTGTGCTTAAAACAGCTTATGTTTGTTATCTCATGGTTCAAGAGGCTAGAGGGATGGAGTCAAATTAGAATCAGTTCTACACTTTCTAAAGCCTGGAGGGGAGAGGACGGTCCTTCTCTGCTTCTGCTAGCTTCTGGTATCATCCAGCAGTCTTTGGTAGTCTTTGCTTTGGAGATGTGCCACTCCAGTCTCTGCATCACATAACCATCTTCTCTGTCCTCTCTGTGTTTCCCTATGTCTGGATGTTTGTCTTCCTCAACCGCCAAAACGTCAGTATGCAAAATCCTAGTCCTCAAGTGAATGGCATTAGGAGATGAGTTGTGGGTAGGGAGCTTTCCTTGGTTCACTCCTGAAAGAAAAAAAAAAACAAAACAAAACAAAAGCAGCTGTGTAAAAAATATTTGAATTAGCATTGAAATCCTAATGTTATCACACCTATTTAGAGACTAACGGAGATGCACATAGCAACTATTGGCAATAGCAAATTAAATGGTTTTCAACAAAAGCAGATCTGGGCAATTTCAGTCTCTCCTCAAAAGGAAATAAGTAGACTTAAGCACTGGTCATAGCAAGTTCCAGAATCTGGGGTCAGTCCTGAGCAAGGCACACACACTGTCTCTTCCCCACCCGTCACCTCCCTCATGCTGAAGAATGGCTTTCTTAGCAAACAAGATCAAATGCCACTCCTAACTGTGACTTGCAGGAAAGTACTGTGAGCAGGACTGTGTTAAGGACTCAGGGTAGAGACCGAAGTGTGATGGTCAACGTTCCCCAGAGGATTATTAGTTTTCTGTCTGAAACGCTCTGGCTTCCTATGCTGCAGTCCCTGGCCTACACGGACACTGTGACAAGGATGGGTCCTGGCAACTGGCCTGCTCCCACACACTAAACAAATCAGGAGAACCTCATCTAGACATAGTCTATACAAACGCAAACAAGCAAGAGGGAAGGCTTTAGTGGTAGAACTACCTCCTAGTGGAGGAATATTTACAGCTGTATAGCAATACTTGTTTCTCTTAACTGTGGTCTCAAATTTTAAAGATATGCTTTAGATAAAAATATTATCACATGAAAATGTGTCATTATATTAACTAATTGTTGATAATGTGTGCTTAGCACACATAACTCTTTCTTGTATTGGTTTTGGGTTCCTCTGATCATTTTGCATCCTACAAGAAGTGCTTTATACCGTTGAATGTTTATTGTTCACAGACAAGCACACTCTAAAATAATTGGATTAAAATTTCCAAGTCCTTCGCTTCTGAAATGTTCTTGCTGTCTTCTTAGCTCTTGCTGCCTCGTGGTTTGGTCTGGAGAGAAGGGCAATTTGTGAGGCAGGAACATATTCTCCAGCCTATCTAAGGCCAGGCTCTCCAGCTCCAGTTTCCTGCTGAAATCTGCATTTTCTCCAGGAATGGGAGGTAAGACTGGTCACTCCATTCAAGGATGATTTGAAACACAAGCTATGGCTCTATGCTGTCGCTTGACTGGGACATCAAGATCAGAAAAGACAAGCAAGTGTATTGATTAAAATACAGCTATGGGCAGTGAGATGGATCAGCGGGTAAAGGTGCTTGCTGCTAAAACTGACCTGAGTTTAACCCACAGAACTCACATGGTAGAGCAGATTCCTGAAGGTTGTTTTCTGACTTCCACGTGTGTTCCGTAGCATGTTCATACACACACTCTCTCTCTTCCCCTCTCTGGTTATGTCTGTCTAACTCTCTCTCATCTCCTTTCTTTCAAATCAACAAAGAAAGAAGAAAGGAAGAAAGAAAGAAAGAAAAAGAAAGGAAGGAAGAAAGAGAGAAAGAAAGAAAGAAAGAAAGAAAGAAAGAAAGAAAGAAAGAAAGAAAGAAAGAAAGAAAAAGAAAGAAAAAAGAGAAAGGAAAACATACATTAAAATATAGCTAAGGAAAGGCTTTGAATTCAAATCTTGATTCTGCTATTTATCGATAGGAGTTTTAGTGCATTACTAAATCTCTCTGCGTCCCCAGTGTTGTGTTTTATAGAATAGAGATAATAAGAGAACCTACCTCAAGAGGCCATGTGTCATTGGAGGACTCAGGGTCCCTTTTGCCGATTCTAGGTTTCAAAAAAAAAAAAAAAATTTAAGAATGAGCAAAATGGGGAGTGCAAGGATTGTTCTTATTGGGGCTACAGCTAGAAAACAGCAGAGTGGTTAGTTGGGAATCTCCACAGCTTCCAGATGAGAGAGAGGCGCAGAGAAGGAAAAGGGGGTAGGTAGGCTCAGCAGTGGAAGTCTATGAGCCGCTGTAGCCACTGGGACTTCAGAGAGAATGAGTGTGCCTTGAACTTGAGACTTGTGCTGAGGAGTTTGGCCTATGCCAGGAGAAAGGAGAAGACAGGGATGCAGGGAGTTATGTCTCTAAGTAAGAACTTAGGAAGCCAGCAGACGAAACCGAGTCTGTCAGCCCCTGCTCTGAGGGAGAGACTTTGCAAATATCTGTGTACACATCTGATTAAAAGGATAGTTAAATTTTGTCTGTTTGTTTTGTCCTATTCTGGTTTGCTTGTTTTTATTTTATCTTATATTATTATTAGTCGTGATGATAATGATGATGATGATTTTAGATGCATGTTTGTATTCTAACAAGAGAAAGAAAGGATGCAGTTTTGGGCAGATGGGGAAGTGGAAAGGATCTGGGAAGAGTTGAGGGGGAACCATAATCAGAATATACTGCATGAAAAAAATCTATTTTCAATAAAAAAGAAAAACAACAACAAAAACTGAAAGTAAAATAGAAAAGGGACAGTTATCCCTACCATTTTATTGTCTTGTCTCAAGCATATCATATTTATTTTCACTTTTCAGCTTTACTGTTGTCCTTTTTAGGCTATCAAACATAATTCCCTCAACACAGTAGGTCCCTGGCATTGTCTGATGAAGGGAAGTAGCTGCTGCCTCTACCAAAAGGCTATTTTCAGCTACTGGCCCTGTCAGCAATACAGGGTATTATTGATCACCAACGAGATTTTCATCTGAAGATATCAACATGTTAATATTTATATGTCCCAAAAGGTGGAGGAACCTCCTATCTACATCAAAAAGGATTCTACTGAAAATTGATCAAGCCAATTGTGCCAGAAGATACTCACATTTATATTCATAAGTCTCCAATGTCACTGGAAAGCACAGGGCTCCAAATGGCCCATTTCGTTTCCTGCCTAGCATTCTTTCTCAATTATAAGACAACAAATGCACCACATTTGAAAAGAGTATTTGAGTCACAGTAAGGACTCATAATACTAACGAGCAACCATCCAGAGGACACACTTGCTCAGAGGACACGCACAGGTGAACAGAACTCTGCTTCACTACAGGAATACCAACTGTGGAGAACAAGGCCAGAATAATATTTATTAAACAGAAGAGGAAAGAGGAGTAAAACAAAAGAACCTTGAGCAGCAGACGAGATGTGCCCCTGCTATGCAGATGCTCCCATAAGATGAGTGTTCCCAGCAGCCCTTTCTCTGTCCTTGCTGAAAATAGAAAGCTATCGGCTTTCCCTCCTTCACCGGGATCTTTTGAAGTGCACGGTTTACTCTTTAGTGGAGCTTCAGGGCCTGAGTAACTCATCGGCCCCTTTTAGTATGCCACAGTGTTTGCGATCAAACAGCATTTGAGAAGACAGAATCCATCCTGTCAAACAGTAAACAAAGAAACTCTCATAATAGCCCAGTGTTCTCACATAGCCTCAAGCCTTTGCTGTCCTGGAATGCTCCGGAGCTTTGGAAAGGCACTTACCCACCCTGAACATAAAAAAAGCAACAGTGTAGAACAAGTGTGGCAGGTGAATGTGCTCATGCTTGTTGCAAACCTCTGTCCTCTGGTCATGATGCAACCCTTGACCTCTTAAAGTGTCAGCAGCTAAGATTACCTGAAGGCAACCTGGACGAGATTGGGCCTGTCAACCTTTAGTCATGGAATTGGGAGGGGCTCACTCAATCTCATCCCTCCTCAAGGATATGCAGACAGTTAATAGGTGCTGGAGAAAAGAGAGATTTTTATTCAGTGGTATAGCTGACCACAAGTTGCCCATGTTCCTGCAAGTAACCCCTCAACCACATTTTTGGAACCCTATTGAACCTCATGGTTTCACCCAGATAGACTTAAATGGAGCTGTTTCTTGGGTCTGCTGTTAATGCCCTATCTGGAATGGATAGGCATTTCTTCAAGTCCTCAGGAAAAGTCATACAATGGTGTCTTATAGAATCATTATGCTCCTATTAAAGTTTCATTTTAGATGTCTTAGCACAGCCCTGCAAATAGGTCATAAGATGATTTTAAAAGAGTCACATGGTAAATATTTTAGCTGTGGGGCCATTCCATCTCTGTCTGAAATAGTCTACTCTGCCACTGTAGTGGAGATCAGCCATAGATGGTACTTATAACGCAGAAGTTGACAAAGGCCATCATTTGCCAAACACTGACTCAGTATAACATTTCTCAGACTTATGCCATTTCATAGTCACCCCACCACCACCACGCACAGTTTTCATAAAGTGTGTAACTGTGTATAATCACATTTCTTATAAAAACTAAAATTTCACTTGATCATTAGAAAAAATTAATAATTACTACTGTAGAAAGAAAACCAATATTACTTGCAAAAAAGGTAGACATTGTCTCAGAGATCACCAAGTCCCTTCTGTAGGTTCTTAGTCTCACTGACATATATATTAATATATATAATACTAATATACATATATATATATATATATATATATATAATTTATATGTATAAAAGAAAAGCAACAAGGTAGTCAAGTTAGAGATCTCAGCAGCTGCCCCTGTGAGGGAGATGGAGGGAGGAGAGAAAAAAAATTAAAATTCATTAAATTTCATTTTTATTCTTTTTAAAAATAATTACTTGTTAATTTTCATTGTGAGCAGTGTATATGATGCCTGTATACAATGCATCGCATTACCCCATTACCCGCCCCTGGTTCTCTATCTACCACCCCTGCTAAGTCTCCTCTTTCCAACTAGGCCCCTCCTCATTACACCAAAAATATATACACTTTTCAGAAAATGCAAATAAAAAAGATACTTTGGAGTGTTGTGCCCAGATCGTGACCCCCAGAGAGACCACCAAGGACGAGCAGCATATCAGAATGCAAAAGCAAGGCTTATTTTTGTTACAAGTTGCGCGACAGGGAGCTCATCAAGCACACACTGGCCTCAGCACAGTGAGGCAGGGAGGAGTTACTCTTTCTTGGGGAAGTTGGTTTTTATAGGCAAAACCCATAAAATTTCTTAGAGGGGAGGGGGTTAGTACGGGTCCATCCTTGATTGGTCCAGTTTTTCATGGGCCTGGACTTTGTCTTATTTTAGCTTACCTGTTTGCCCTGTCAGGAGTTTTACGACTCATCTCCGGGGTCTGGTCATGTTATCTCCGGAGAGGGGCATCTCGTGGTTAATCGGTTTCCACCAGACATCCTGACTTTGTTCTTTTGAAAACACCTGACTTCACCCTCTCCAGGAAGGAGGAACTGACTCATTTTTAAGATATCTGTTCCCTCAGCTCTTTTGGGTTTCTGGGGGAACTGTGTCTGGGTCTTTCAGGAGGACAAGATGGCACACTAGGACCAAAGAATGAGGGCCGTGGCCTTCTCTTACTTGTGGTTTTTGATAATGTAGCAGAAAATTACCTTCCTGTCTGGGTAGTTTGGGTCTACCATGGTGGGCCAACCAAAGAGGAAATGCTTAATCCTAATAGCACTTGGTTGTAGCCTTGGAGTCCACTAAGAACTGCTCCTGGTGGCCTAGAACTCAGGATGCAGCCAGGACAGGAAGGTATGATAACTAAATATCCTTCCTGTTAGCTTTGGTTCAAGAAGGAAGAGCCAACTGAACTACTGTGCTCAGCTTTTTTTTTTATGATTTACATTTCTTTCCTTATTGTTTTGAGATCTTCATATGTGAGAAACAGTCTTCACATCATTTCCACACCAGATTTGTAGCCAGGAAAGAAGAATTAACATGGTCTATAGCTCTTGGTTTACGGCTTCATAGAGCATTGTGTGGATCTTTCTCTGTTACTGAGAGATCCGTGCTGGCTTAACTGTAATCTAGCCAGGCATTTGAAAGTGAAATACAACCAGCTTGAAGAGTTCCCATTATAATGTTTGAAATCTGCCTCCACTTAAATGTTTTTCCCCCCTCTGGTTTCCTGCCTACTGGGGTGTTACTGACCACCAGCAAGCTGTTTGTCTCAGTCAGAGCTGGCATGCTGTTTGTTATTCATGTCTTCAACAGTGCCTGGGGAGGAAATGGGCGCCAAAGACACTCTCTTCCCACCAGCCATCCCCTATCTTTAGAAAGATCACTTGAGGAGCCTACTGACAGGCTGTCTCAAAGGAATGAACAATAAAGGAAGAGTAGGGTGGGCTGGGGGAGTAATAATAGAACACTCACTGAGCATGTGCAGAGGCCTTGTGTTTAATCCTTAACACTGGAAAAAGCCTTAAAACAATTATAATTATTAAAATTCTTCTAATAGAAATGCTAATTGTAGTTTGAGGAAGGTTTAGTGCTGAAGGCAAAGTTCATTGGGCAAGCTCGTTGGTGTTGTTACTGGTTCACCCATCAGTTTCCTCCACCTTAGATAAGCGGATCCTGTTTCACATCCACCCCATCTATCTTATCATCATCTTCATGGCACTCAAGCACCTGCTACTTGCTTGAAGGTCTGCCCCCTCTCTTCACCTAGTTAACTCTAACTCATCAATTAAACCTTCCCCTGGTCAATTCAAATCATCTTTCATTGTTCCTCGTAGACTAACAGGCCAGTTCACAGATGCGTTAGTCATAAATGCCATTGTATGTGGGCTGACAAATAGTCAGATCATTTCCTGGCTTCTCTGCTTGTTCTACTTTCTCCTTGAAGTCAAGGAATCGGAAGGTCACACTGTTCCTGTAGTAAGCTACAGTTTAGACTTAAATGTCTCTCAAAGGTTGAGGGGGTGATGGAAATATGAAATATGAAAAGGATGGAGCCTCATAGAAGATCTTCTAGTTGTTAGAGTCATTCCCTTGAAATGGTTATTGGGACCCTAGCCTGCCCCTTCCTGGGCTTTTCTTTCTATGTCCTTGTTGTAAAACTCCACCTACTTCCCTGCACTCCCAAAACACCCCAATGAGCAGACTCACCCCGGGACAAAACCCAATGGGATCAACAGATTAGAGACTGAAACCTTCAAAACTGGCATCTAAAATAAATATTTCTGGGCTGGAGAGTTGTCTCAGCACTGGCTGCTTTTGCAGAGGACCTGGGTTCAGTTCCCAGAACTCACAGGACAGCTCTATAACTCTGGTTCCAGGGGATCTAATGCCTTCTGACTCCTGTGGGAACCAGACATGTATATACATTCATGTAACCAAAACACTTACAAAAATTAAAATAAGAAACATTTTTAAAACAATTTTATTGCTTCTGTGGGAATTTCATATCACACACCCCAATCCTACTCATTCCTAGTCCATTTATATCTACCCTTCACCCTTGCAGCACCCCACCACCATCACCAAAAGAAAAAAAAATTTAAATATATTAAGAAAAAAAAAAACACTCACTCCAGCACCTTTTCATTCATCTTTGTGGCACTGGGAGCTGCAGTGTGTCACACCATATACCAAACAGCTTTACTTGCAAATGTTCATTGCAATGAGTTGTTGGTCTGGTTTAAGGCATCTCGCTTCTGGTATACCATCAATACTAGACCCTCACCAAAACTCTTCTCAAACACCCTGCTGTTTCCCTGAGTCATAGAGATCCTGTCACTATGATTCTACAGAACCAGGTCCATCATGTGCTCCAGCAGGCCATAGATGGGATAGATGTTGGTGTGGGCCAATGCAAAGCCCTGGATGTGGGCCTGGGTGGTAGCTGAGTTGGTTAGTCCAAGCCTCCACTGGACTCCCTCAGGCGATGGGTGGAGCCAGCTCTCCAGTGCCCATGCTGAGAGGTGGAACCATCTCTCCTGATTGCTGGGCCAGCTCTCCCATGAGGGTTGGGGCCAGCTCTCTAGCTGCAGTGGCCAGCAAGGGTCAAGTCCAGATCTCTCAGGGCCAGCAAAGGTCGGAGCTGGCTCAGCACAGCCCCTGATGGTAACATGGGCCATGGACATGTTACCACAGACCCCAGCTATAGCAGCATCACGAACCCAGATATGACCCTCAGCAGCAGCATGTCTCTAGATGTCACCATGGTCCTGCATGGCAGCACAGGCCACTCAGATCAGTATGGCCCCAGCAACAGCTTGGCCCTTGGACACCAACATGGCCACAGGGGCAATCCAGACCCTGGGCATCCATATGGGCTTTGGTGGCAACATGGGCCATGGACATCAACATAGACCTGGCTGCAGTAGGATCTTGGACCCAGATAT